CATGGTATTGAGACAAGTGTGAAAATGATTGGAAAAAACTGTTAGTGTTTTGAAAAAGTGGACATGGTATTGAGACAAGTGTGAAAATGATTGGAAAAAACTGTAAGTGGTGTGAAAAAGTGGACATGGTATTGAGACACGCGTTAAAATGATTGGAAAAAACTGTAATTCAATTCAGCAGATGGAGCACAGAGCTTCAGAATATCACCAAGATGATACTGTATGGGATTAGGATTGGAGATATCTGTCTTTTCATATGAAATCCAAGTGATGAGCTATTATTTTGATATTTAATAGTTTTTTTGCTACACAACATAAAGATATATTAGAATGCAGTTTACTTTCACAAAAAATATTATCTTGCATGCATGAGGAATGTACAGGAGTACTTGAAAATGACTGGTCTAAACAGAAATGCCAAGTACTCAGATCATTAATTGGTCGGACCAGCATTTTGACCCATCCTGTTCATCCTGTGTGTTTCTTTAGGTCCGCTCTCCACAGACATGGGACAAAACCTCTTTCTCCTGCTCATCTCAGGTGACCGCCATCTGGAAAAGTGGCATGTTTGTTTGCTAAACTTTCAGTCATTTTGTAGTACCAATCTTTACAGGCAAATATAAATAATGACCTTCATCCACCATATTACAAGAACAATTTAAAAACTTACTCAAGTGATTAAAGGTATAATGCTAGTTAATTTGCATTTTTGAAAGTGAGTGTAAAGAATGATGTAGATCAAAAAAGATCGAAAAGGATTAGTAGAGTTTCAGAATCAACAAAATAGCTTAAATATCTCTGTATGTATGTGTATTTGTGTTCATGTCCACAGGGCTCTACACATCATGTTCATGTCTCTCCCGTCATTTTTACTTTGTGAACATGAATAAGAACTGGACTGAGGCACAGAGTTACTGCAGAGATAATTACACTGGTCTGGCAACCTTTGATGACATGAAGGACATGAATGAGATGCTAAACACTTTAGGCACCAGTTATAACAAAGTGGCCTGGATTGGCCTGGAGAAAGGAAACGAGAAGAAATGGCAGTGGTCCCTGGCAGACAGGGAATTTTACAGTGATGGAGGAACTGAGTTCCGGAACTGGGATAATAATCAGTCACAGGCTGTGGCAAATGACTGTGTACTTATGGTAAATAATGGTAAATGGCAAGATCGTGACTGCAACCAAATATACCCATTTATCTGTTATAAAGGTGAGTTTTTTTTTGCAGCCTCCCCTTTAAAACAATAAAAATTAAATAATATCATGAGCACATTCTGAACTAAACACATTATAGTGAAGCACGTCATTTATATAATGTTTACTAGTCACCTACAAGTTTTTGTGTAGCGATGTTTAATATTTGTTTTGACGAATGATGTCTCAGACTTTATCCAGAAGCTTAATTCCTCCATCAACCAGGCAGCATAGGGCATAAGGCAGTGGTACACCATGGATAGGACGCCAGTGCATTGCAGTGCACACATGTGTACACACACTATGGGCAATTTAGGGACCACAGGGACCCTAACTGCAAGTCCTGGGATTGCATGAGGAAATCAGAGAACTGGAGGTAACTCATGTGACAGAGTAAGAAAATGCAAACTCCACAAGCACAGAAAGGAAGGGGGCAGGATTTCAGGGTATGGATTCAGAATTACAGTTAGACAAATGTTTAGATGAATAACAAATATGCAGTAGTATATTCTTACCATTTTGAATTATGTTTTTAAATTTCTTGCTCTGGTTCCAGTTTTTTACAGATTACAGTTCCAGAATTTACAGATTGCACCTAGCTTAAATATATTCCCATAAAGAATCATCACAATGTACTTAGAGTGAGCCGTTTATGTTCTGTTGTTATTGTTACGGTTTGCAATTGATTTATCCCAAAACACAACATCTAAATAGTGAAAATGTGTTTTAGTTATAGTGAGTTAGCACTGGGTGGCACTGTAGCGTCACACATCCAGGCATGTGGATTTGAATTCTACCTCTGACTCTGTATGTGCTTATTCTGTGTGCTTGTGTGGGTTTTCTTTCAAAAACATGTAAAAATTGGTGTCCCTCAATTTCCCTTTGTGTGTGACAGTTTGTGGCCAATGATGGGCTGGTATCCTGTCCAGGGTGTCCTCTGTTTTGTGCCCTATGTGGGTGAATCTTGAGAGCTCTGGTAGTTTTTCTCTGTCAGTGCAAATAGGTGAACTGATATTTGTAAATTGTGTCGTGTACCCTTTGTGGTAGACTGGCTTCCTGTCCAGGGTGTACTTCATTTTATTCAACAAATCACATTTCTGAAAAGAATTCATAGAGATAATTTAATTAATAGTTATTTGACAATTTTAGATGAAAAAGCTCTTACGAGCCTAACAATTTAGACCTCGATATTTAAGGTATGCCTCTTATCTAGGTAGATAGTTTTATTCAATACTTATCAATAATTCTACAGGTGAAGCAGCTCTATTTGACTGACACATTCTGGAGGAAATAACACAACACAAAACCAAAGAACTGGGGCTTTTGTTGTTTGGTCACTAAATTCCTCCAGGAACAATGCAGGAACAACGCAGAACAATGCATACAATTTCTTCTTCCTGTGGAAGGACACATACAAACACTTAAACCTATGCAAATGTTACTATATCCTGACAGGTACAGATCCCAAGAACAGGCAATTCATCCCAGTTAAACTCTATGTCACTTGGACATACGCTCAGAGTGTCTGCAAATATTATGCTGCAGACCTGGTCAGTATACGGAACGAAAATGAAAACGAGCTTTTACGTGAAGTCGCAGCAGGAGTGCCAATGTGGATCGGCTTGTTCAAAGATGCCTGGAAATGGTCTGACAATGGGAACTCTTCATTCCGATCGTGGAGAACAGGCCAACCCGATAATTATTATGGGAATGAGAACTGTGCCGTATCATGGTTGACGGATATGGAAAAAGGGAAAATGGGTGACAGGCCATGTAATGAAAAACATCCATTTATATGCTACGGTGGTGAGTCAAGTTTGACAGCAGAAACTACTACTACTGTTGTTGCTACTGCTAGAATTGCTCCAGATTAAGATTTAGAAAATACTTCTCTTGCATTTAGCTCTTAATTTTTTTCGAGGAAATTTTGGATTCTTTTCAACAGATGATCGTTACCACTTTTTTTTCTCTCTCTGCTTTGCAGTTATGGAACCCACAACTTCTCAACCCTCAACCAAGTCACTCACTTCTACTAACCACCCCATGACCAAGCAATCAGTCACCGTGCCCTCAACTGCTGTCAAGAAGAAGCAGGCAATGGGGGGTGGTGGTGTAACACCACTGATTCAATCTGCTAGTCAAGTGTCTCCCCATTATCTGTCCAGGGCTCTTTTGCCTGCCTGCTCTCTTTACCTCTCACTTTTCCACCTGTTGTAATGGTCCTGTTTTCATCTGTACTCATATCCCACTTATCTCACTCATAAATGTTATTTCTATCTTACATACAATTTAATATGCAGAATATAGAAATGATTTGCTTACACGAGCTTCTTATTATGTATGTGTGAACCGATTAAAATTCTTAGTATGTGCACAGTTAGCTCTTTAGTGTCAATAGCCTCGACATAACAGCTTACATGACATGGTTGTGTGTCTAATAAATACATTTGATGCATTGATGATATTGCCTCGTGCATTATTCCAGTATGAAAACATCCAGCAGAAGGTACCGTGTTATTTGTTTTGACATGTTTTCCAGAATATTATGTTGGGGGTATTCCAGATCTTCCAGAACTGAGTTGAATAACCCTGACAAAACATATCCAGCGTTTTCAGTTCCAGAAAAATACTGGTAGTTTCCCAGTATTTTTGGCACAATTGACTCTGACTTTTAAACCTAAAGGCTGATTTATGTTTGTGTTGACACAGAGTTTATGCCACGCCCTACACAACTGGCCTGCGCTGTTATTGTGCATTTATACTTGTGCGTGATCTGCGTTGCCATGAGGTGCACGTCAGGCTACGGTACAGGGTACACGGCCATGCCATACCTAAGGGGTACACGTCCATGCCATACTTACAGGGTACACGTCCATACCATACCTACAGGGTACACGTCCATGCCATACCTAAGGGGTACATGGCCATGCCATACCTAAGGGGTACACGTCCATGCCATACCTACAGGGTACACGTCCATACCATACCTAAGGGGTACACGGCCATGCCATACCTACAGGGTACACGTCCATACCATTCTTTCATGACGTGAGACGAAGGACTTGAAGGCAGGCATTTGGTGAACAATAAGGGGTTTGTGAGGAATCATAAAGAAGGAAGGCTCTTGTGCAGTTTCAGGTTTACAGGCTGGCTTTATTTGGGGCAAGATAAACTCAGAGTTGATGGGTGAGGTCAGAACCAGGGTAAGCCAAACAATGTCCAAATCTGAAGACAAAAGCCATAGTTAGAAAACAGGTCAAAAATTTTGTGGCTGTTGAGCTGTCCTTTTCACTGCCACTTCAGTGCTTAAGTATCACTTCCAGGAAAGGCCTATAATTATTGCTTCCAAACCAAAGTATGTGGTGTGCTCCACTAACTGAATTTAATGAAAATAACGATACGCTAAATTTATACTGATTGTTAATTTTTGGGCATCACAATATGGCTCTTATTTGGACACAGAAGGAAAAAACTTAAAGAAGAAGTGCGACAGTAATAATCCTCTGAGTGAAACACAGTGATCACTAAGCAGTACATAGTCGTGCGGATTACACAAAGCATCGAAGAAAAGAATTTGCATCGAGAATTTTTTTGTAATTGAGTTATTCGAGATAATACATAAGAAAAGTGAATGGATGGTGGATCATATAATGGGCTGTAATGGGATATAGGGTCTCTGTTATGGGGTTAAAGGTCAAATCTAACTTCCATATGTATATCAGTCATTATGCTTAGGTGTTACTGTATGTCCCTGTCAGCTGACTTAATTCCATCCCATCATGACTCCCCTGCCCCTTATTAAAACTCTAGCATTCAAATTAACACAAGAAGGCAAAAGAAGCAAGATCCTTTACTCTTAAGTTTTATTTCTTGACTGGAGTGTATAAAATGAGAAAGTACAGCATGTAGAATTTGCTTTTTCTTCCACAATGTGTCACAAAACATTGATTCAAGTTCCTGTTTTTATAAATAGTACAATCTGACACTCATTCCCTTACGCAAATGTTTGTCCACCTCCTGAAACCATGCAGAACAGGGTAAAACAAATATACAACAACATTTGCATTCTGTTTTACATACATAGCTCTATATACACCTAGAGGGATTCCAGAACATTGTGCTCGATACAGTAGGTAATCTCATTGTCAGAGGCGCAGAGTCTTTTGTACAGTGAGACAGAAACCCTTCCGATTCACAGAGATCAGGTAAAGGCATATATTGCATTTTTTCTACCATTATACTTTAAATTTTCTTTTTTTAAATGTATATTGTAATTCACAGTTGTACACTGGTGTTACCTTTATATTTAATGAATAATGCAAAATGTGCAATTTTTTAAACATTCATATACAGTGGTACCTCTGTTCTCGAACACATTATAACTCGAATTTCTTAAAAGTCAAACCAACCAGTTTGAAAAAAAATTACCTAGAGCTCGATCTGAAGTCAAACCTTGTATGCGAGGGTAAATGAGTCACGCGGCACGTTTCTCAGCAGAGACTAAGGATAAACCAGGAAACCGGTCCCCATAAGGGAAAAAAAAGGATATTTATCACGTTATGGGGACATTATGTCTCAGTTCAACCAAGAATGCATATTTTTGTATGCTTTTACATAAATGTGGCAATCATTAATTAACATTAAACATCTCACTACCAAAACTGTCCAAAGCCCTGGTGCACACTGATGGAATAAAGCAAACTTAGTGTTTATAAGTATTCATCTATTCATTTCTTGTTTATTTGGGTATAACTATAGAATATTTACCATTGCAATTGCACATTCAGTCCTAATTGTAAATCTGTGAAAAGAAAATCAGAGAACAGAGATTATTATGAATTAGAGAATTCATAAATATCAACCATTTTGTGTGTTTTTTGTGATTGTATAATGTAATTCAGTAATTGGTATTAAAAGCCAAAAAAGACTAGAACACATCCCCCCTTTTACAAAATATATTAAAATCTGAAATATCTAGTTTTTAACTTTTTGTATTTTTTGTGCTAATACAAATAATACAAATAGGCTTTACTTGCCCTTTTTTGCACTGGACAGCTTAAACTCAAGCTGGCAACCACGTGGATTTTTGGTGGATATTTGGTGAAGTTGCGGATCCAAGTGATTTTATCCATGTAGATTCCACGTGTCAACATCCACAGTAAGTACTTGAACATCCACAAAAGTACTTGAATTTTTGTTTTTGTGTTAAATGCATACACTCACCTAAAGGATTATTAGGAACACCATACTAAGACGGTGTTTGACCCCCTTTCGCCTTCAGAACTGCCTTAATTCTACGTGGCATTGATTCAACAAGGTGCTGAAAGCA